CGGCGTTAGATATTGAGGATGATTGTAGTTATTGAAGGTTTTTGGAAGTTGCGGCTGTGGCTGTTGTGGTTGGTGTGGTTGGTGGCGTTGTTGAGGTTGGCCTGAAACGAGGTGAGCGGTGATAAGTAGCACTGCTAAAAACTGATGGCGACGTCTATTATTATTTCTTGTTGATTTCATCTTTTTTTTGGTTTAAATTTAATATCTATGCCGGCTTTTAAACTCGTCCAATTAGCAAAGTGCTTATTTTATTTATAGTTGCCTGTATATTCTCGAAGAAAGTTTTCGGTGGGTTATTTTTGTATGGTTAGAATTTTTATTGGAATTGTTGTCATCTGGGTGATAACTTGTTGTGTTTTTGGGTGTGTGGTGGTTGTTGTTTGTGTGGTTGTGGTGGGAGTAGTAGCTGCTGTAGTTGCTGTGGTTGTTGTGGTACTTGTTTGTGGTTGGTCTTAGGAAATTGTTGTTTTGGATAATGGTTATTCGATGATGGATGTTTATTTTATTTGAGTTCTGTCTAGTTAGTTGTTCTACGTGTCGTGTTGTTGAGTTTTTGTTGTTTAGTTGCTGCTGCTACTGCTGCTTCTGCTGTTTTTTAACATATCCGTAAAATAATTTTCTAAACGCCTGAGACTTCCGTTAACTTTGGGGTAATTTTACCTTTAAAATTGAGCACTGAGCGCTGTTGTTGAGCCCAGCAAAATGTCCAACTGTCTAACAACAACAACAGCAACAACAACAACAACAGATTCTCCCAACTATCATATTTTGAAAAATGAAATTAATGACAGCAGTGCGGCGGTTAATAACAACAACAACAGATCTGTACCAAATGACGTCACTGATAACGTAACCAAAAACTGTTAATATATTTTCGTAAAAAATATTATTATTGATATTTTTCTAGCGCCGATTTACGCATACGGCAATTACCAATGCCTTGGATGGAATTTTCGTTTAATGTATTTTTGTGTAGGTATTAATTATATAGTCTGGTGACCAGGTATTTTGGTACTTCTGCTATAATGAGGTATATATTGTATTGAGTGGTTTGAAATTGGTGTTTATTGAATAATTGTGACTGTAGAGTGTGTTGTATATCTTTATACTTTCCTATCAAATGTTGTTACTTTGTGTGGTGTGTTGTTGTTATATGACTTAAGAGGGTACTTTTTAAGTTTTGCTGTTGATACTGTTGTTGAATGGAATTTTTATAGTTGCAGCAGTTTTATTTCGTAGGAGTGTTTGTCGGAGTGTTTCTCGTTTAAACTGTTGGCTGTAGATTCGATTTCATCTGCAAAATTGAAAGGTATGTATGTGTGTGTGTGTGTAAATGTATGTGCGTATATATGTGCGTGTGAAGTTTGTTTGGTGTGGTCTGCCTAAAAATCTGTGTGTGTGTGTTTGTGTTGCATTGGTGCTTGTGAGTTGTGGTGTGTATTTTAGGTTGAGTATATTACTTGATGGTGGAAAATTGTATTTGGGTATTGTGTATATATGTAGATTTGAATGTGTGTGTGTGTGTCTGTGTGTGTGTGCGTGTGTGTGTCTGTGTGTGTGCGTGTGCGTGTGTTTGCTTGGTATTAATATTCAGTCATCTCGTATTTAATCATTTTCGTAAACATTTTATTATATTTTATATTATCATATATCATAGCAAGTATATTTTTCAAAAATTATTGCTGAAAAATCGCTTCAATTTATTCAATATTTCCGCAGTTTTTTCTTTTCACTTTTGCAAAATCGCGGAGAAAACATTTACAGTGAAAGCACGAAAAAGTATTCGTAGCTTCAAATTTCAAATAAAAGTACCTACTTAGTGATGCTGAGTAGAATGATGACGTAACTATTATGACGATCACGACGACGATGATGGCACAATAACAGATGCAGATAATAAAATGATGTTGATGAACTTTGAGTAAAAAAATTTTCAAAATATTCTACGATTTTGTTACTATAGATAAATGAAAATATTTATACCCTCACATATAAACATCTGAGATTTGTTGGAAAATTAATAATAATTTTTAAAAATCACTTACCGTCTGACTAAAATTAAAATGATCTGACGTTTTATATAAACATTGCACACACACACACACACACACACATAACACACATATATTTGTATATACATATATATATATATATATATATATATATATATATATATATATATATATATATATATAAACACCTATATAATGCAATAAATAAACAGGTATATAAATATATAGGTATATACTATATATTCTATATATAATATATATTCATATAGAGAGTAACTTATATATATTTATATATATGTGTGTGTGTAATATAATAATTAAATAACAGTAATATAATAATTAAATAAAATATATCATAATAAAGTAGCCAGTGGCGTCTTTCTTCTCTGACAGTAGGCGCGGAATAACTTTACTTGAAATTCGAACAGGAAGACTTTTGAAAAGAAAAATTTTATTAGTGAAATTGTTTTTTATGTTGCAATCCTCTC